TCCTGACAGATCTTCAAGCCTCAAAGAGCTTGCCAACTTCTAAAGCCTAGAGTTGCCATCTGTTCACCTAAAAATTATAGCTATTCCTTATTGAGGTCTGAAACAAGAGAGGATATGTATATACATTGTACCTCTCAAGAAACACTGGAATCCAATGTATGTCAACCATGTCATCTGAATTCTCTTTAAAACTTGATTTGGGGGGGAAATATTTAGTGTAGAAGCAACACTGGATTGATCTAGAAAATATGTTGGGTTCAGGTTATAAATATTGCACGGAACTGATTTTACTCAGTATGCTTTTGCTTTCAAAGCAAATTGTAGGTATCAGGAAATGAAAACTACTGACTTCCCAGAGGTAGAATCCAAAAGATCTTACTTTTCACCATCATGGGAACAAGAAGATGTGTTTACGGAGCTCAGCATTCCGCTAGGTATGTCTCATTACAAGCGATACACATTTAACTCTTTACAATACATTTGTTTTGCAAGAAAACAATGGTATCTGTTTCAGATCATTTAAAAGAGCTTCTGAAAAGAGAAGTTTCTGTTGCTCTCACTCAGTTGGCATATATATTAATAGCGGTGTTTAGTCAGGTTAGGGACATAAGGGGAAAGAATAAATTAAAAATAAACAGAGTCAAGTCAACCTTTTGATTTTCTCCAGAGGCAATTAATAGCATTGAAACTGAGACAGAGATGTCAAATACAGGGGGTGAGCCTCTATTTAGTCAGTAACTTGGTGTTCAAAGCCCTTCTCATGAATTATGGTATGTAATTGTTAACAAGAAGCCTGCAAGGTAGGTCAGTATTTTAAAACTTCTATTTATTAATGCATATACAGTACCCTGCAAAAATATAATCCATGATAAGTATAAAAGATAAACTTAACGTAAATATCAGTCTCATTGTTATCAGACAAAAAAAAGTACATCTCTAAAGACAGATACTTGAAATAAGCATGATTTTTTATATTTGACAGAAGGTGCCCATCTATTTAATAATTCATGACAGTTTATCTTCACCTCTTGAACATATATCAGACCTGTCACCTGATCCATTTAAACTACCTTCAACCATTCTGGCAGCACAAGGCTTGCATTATCTTTATTCATTCATTCATTCATTCACTCATTCATTCTATACCACCCTTCATCTGAAGATCACAGAGCTGTTTACAATATAAAGACACAAAAATACATACCGTAATAACAAACAAAAACAATCACACACACACACACACAGAGAGAGGGAGAGAGAGTTTAAAAGGCCCCCACTGGACAGAGAGCCTGGAGAGAGAGAATTTCTATAGACCACAGCAACTCCCCCTCCCCAGCCTTCAAGTCTGCCCTGGTGCTCCACCAGGTGGGTACAGCTGCATGAGACCAACTCCACCCTGTTCAGCTACCCAAAACTCAGTAATACAGACCAGATCAGCCTCCTCATCGACAACCAGGTCAGGCCTAAAGGCTGACTAATAGGACAACCACAATTCCCTAGGTTACAGGAAGGGCTGGCACATGGCACAGTCAGGTGGGAGAGAGAGTAAGAAAAAGTGACTTAGCCAAGACCACCTAGTGAGAGACAATGGACCCATGGTCTGACTCTATATAGGGCGGCCTCCTATGCTACATTACTCTATATTATTTTTGATAGAGAAATTATAAATATCTGAGAAGTGAAAGCACTATACTTTAAGAAATTCAGGTGACGCCAAAATAAGTTCAACCATTTTTCTCCCCATGGAAAGGAATTTTCTTTATAAGGCTATCTGATTCCCACCCCCAGTAATAATTGCAAGTCAATATTGTTTTATAGGCATGGAATTCATTGTGCCCAGAACTGGCTTTTACTGCAAACTCTGTGGACTTTTCTATACAAATGAGGAGACAGCAAAGACTCGTCATTGCAGAAGTACTGTTCACTACAAAAATCTTCAGGTAACAACTGATTTATTCACGCAAATTAGTATCTGAAATGTAATGGCACGCATAAACAAGTCTTGGGGCTGCATACCTCCTGCACTACTGCATGTTTACCACCCTTGTCATGTGAAGCACTTAACACTGTCTACTTGTGAATCCAAGTTGGATTATTTTCAACCCATTTTTCAGTTCTACAGCTCATTTATTGCAGCATTTTATAGTCTATGGGCAGTATTCAACTATGGCAAAAAAATGACACAGATTAGGGGGATGGATCAGTCTTGCCCTCTAGGATCAACCCTTCAAGCTTCTTTTCCTGGAGCCTTAGGAGTTATAGCAGCCATGGCAAAGCTTAGAAATTGTTTCTAGTAAAGCACCTCCTAAGGGTGGCTAAAGCCATGGCATGTATGCTCTGGGAAGAAGCATGATGCAGGGGTGTCTGGCTTCCTTCCTACCTGTTACCTAGGTGTTTTGGAACATCCTCAGCTTGGTGGGTGCCTGGTTGAACATCTATAGGCAGTGCAGACATTGTCAGCAGGGAATATATGAGTATGTGTGCTATACATCATTTACAAATAATGGGATATTGATTGTTAGCTGTTGAGTTCAGTACTGAACACCTAGTATAAGACAGCAGTGAGGAGAGATGGGTGTATGAGTGTAAGTTCGTTCTGTGAACATTCTAAGCCTACATGTAAATTGTACACATTTTGTACACTCTCTGCCTGTGAAGTACACATTTTTCAATGCATTTCAATGTATTTTGATTAATTTCCTCTAACCGCAGCACAAAATCTAGAGAATTGCATAATTCAATTAATAGTAGTCTTCCAATCTGCAAGCAAGTTCAGGAACATAGAATTCTGTTGATCTACTAACAAAGCAGACCAAATTAACTCCTCCTATATCTCTAATAACTAAAAAAGCATAGGTCTTAATGCAATCACACCCAATTCACTTTCTGAAGTCCACCTTTTCTCTCTTTGCTTTCCTCTTTCAAAATGTCTTTATTTATATTAAATTTATATACTGCTCTTCATCCAAAGATCACAGGGCGGTTTAGAAATATATCTTATGTGTCAAATGAAGTGAATAAAGAAGTATGTCACTGGATTTTCTGGTACAGAACAACAACCTATAGATAACAAGAGCTGAAGATTTACTATAACCCCATATTGCATACTTCTGTTTCAGATAAATAAGCCTTTTCTATTTGGATATGTGTTTGCCTACAGCTCTCTGCTCTGACTTTCAAGAACTTCCACTGCTGTTTTCATCATAAATTCTGGCCATTTCAGACCTCTATATTTTGTGCGATTACAATTCTGTTAAATCTCGCAAGTTGTCAAAACCAACTAGAAGCTAAAGAGCTTTGGTTCAATTCCCTTGCTGCACATATCAAAAGTCATTGCGCATCAAATTGTTACACATCATGAGAAGATTAACTGTCACCCAGCCTTGGCCTTTCTCTAGAAAATGAAGTGCATGCTGCAAGTTAATACAGAATGCTGTGTAGAGCACGGTAGCAAGTCACGCACAAGTCTAAGTGAAAGGGGAGATGGCAACAGGTGAAAGGCTTGCCTTCGGGATTCTTTTTCTCCCTTTAGGGCAGCCACTAATCCAAGACCAAAGCAGTTTTAAATAGCTGGAAAAATATGCATTTGCTCATTAAAAGTCTATATACATTAATGGTTTTAGTGAACCTAAGCAACAGATGAATCTCTTTTTAAGAGCGTGAAGTAACTGGCATTTCCTTGGCAGCGAGTCAGGAGAAGAAGCACTTAGACAGTTGTCAGCTTCACCACACCCCTTGTGTGCATTTATACTGAATCCAGCTTCTCATTAGGCGCACAGCTGGTCTATACTAAGAGCACTGCCCTGTGTAGGGCTGTGATGTCATTGAGTAGCAGAAGAGAAGTGACGTCATGTGTGGTTCATAGTTGCTGTTGCAGTTTGGCATGTAGGAGTTGGGGGCTGATCAGAAATGATATGAAGCACCCTTCCTGCTACAAAAGTAGGGCCATAAAGTGGGGAGGGGTAAGGGAATTAAAGGAGAGCCACCACCTCCCCTTAATATCAAATGCAATAGATAAACTGGCCCTGATTCTAGATGTAGTTTCTAAACGGTCTCACTGCCATTATATAACAACCCTGCATTGACTATTAGGTGTACAGGGCAGCATGAAGCCACATCAATCCCAGTTCCCTGGCATTTCTATATGAATGATATGTGTGGTGGGAAAACATATTTGTGTGTACACAATTCCATCTCAAATATATATCTAAAACATGCTGTGTATATGTATGTTGTGTGAAGCAACTCTTAGATGGGCTATCCTACTCTCCTTCATGGCTGAGCACTAGAATGGCTGGACATTATGAACTTTATAAATGTCATATTGACTGGTGTGTTTCACTTCCTTTCCTGGTACTGCAAATAATGTAGACAGTATATTCATGGGGTTATTACTCAGTTTGATGGGAGAAGGCTCGCTACACATATTCAGAAGTCTTTACTTTAATACTTCACATGTTCCCAAGTTTAGACCTTGTTCAAATCAAGCTCTGAACAGAGCTATTGTTACAGAACAAACCAATAGTGAATTAACATTTGGCTAAATACTAATGATGTGGCTCCCCCTCCTTGCACTGCTCAGAGGGGCAAGCTGACAAAGCAACCTAGTTATGAGGAAAAAGAGGACAGCTGTTCCTACAAACTCACAGCCACTGCTGTGGCAGTATTTCTCATCCCTAGCTAGTTCACCTGTTCCTTTGGGTGGCAAAATAGGTAGTGTTTTCTTCCTGTTGGGCAGGAGGTGAGGTGAGGTTGCAGGCAGATCAACAGTAATAAGATGTGGTGTAAAATAATGATCTTTCGTTCAGCTGTAGGATCCTTTGGTGGCATGTGAGCCTTGGTAAATGCCTGGTTATGCTGACTTCTGTTTTTGGGCCTAGATATCATATTGGTATTTCCTCCATTTTAGGAGTTATGTGAGCATTAGAATCATAGAACTGTAGAGTTGGAAGGGACCACGAGGATCATTTAGTCCAACCCCCTGCAATGCAGGAATCTTTCACCAAACATGGGGCTCAAACCCATGACTCTGAGATTAAGAGTCCCATGCTCTACTAGCTAAGCCTATCCCTCAAGGCATCTTCAGCCCTATAGAGTGACATAAGCATTTGTGGCAGTGGCTTGAAGGCATGAAGTTATATGGTTGAAAATCAAATTACCTATATTTTCATTATTTCATTCACCACAGAAGTACCTATCCCAGCTTGCAGAAGAGAATCTGAAGATGAATGAGAAAGAAAGCAGTTTGCCACAAGATGATAATGGGATTGTCCCTCACTTTGAGGAGAAAAAGCTATGAGGTGAACACTAATGGTTTTCTGCTGATCCTGCTTATGCACCTTTTGTTTGCACTGTTGAAAGGCAAGCATAATGAGAAGCTTGTTCTATGCATCTACACTGACAGCACCATTTAAAAACAATGTCTGAAATACAGTACAGTGAAGCAAAGTGACATATCTGATAGCAGTAAAGCTCCACTTTCTCAGCCTTTAATAGGCACAACAGCTCTCTTTAAACTAGAATTCTCAGGGATTCTCTCAGTGTTGGTTCAGGTAAATTGTTTAGTGAAAATATTCTGAGAGTGAGGAAGAAATAACCTGAAAAATCCTTGGTTAAAATACTTTTATTTACATCACCTAGTCCAGCAGTGAACTACGGGTCTTGTAAGTACATCTATAAGTTATTGTTGTATTACTGCTGATAAAATGGGTTCAATCAGATGATAACAATATCCATGTCTTGTATGAAATACTCACAGTTCATATATTCAAAGGGCTTACAATCTACATTGGGGTGGGGGGCAGAAGCAGTGAAGCCCTTTCCCCCTTCAGTGCCTTGACAACATTTCAGAAGACTAAATATGTTCCACGTTTTGCCTCTGGTAGGATTACTTATCTCTTCTCTTCTTTCCTTAAGGTTTTATTCTTCCTAATTTTAGAAATCAACCAGGCACTTAATTTTGTTTCACTCAGAGCCATCGCCCAATTTAAGAAACCTTAGTCGACTGACAGTATAAGTGTATTAAGTCTGCATAAATTTGCACATGAATAAAAGAAGTCCTAAAGTAGGGACATCTTCCTTTGTCTCAGATGATGAACATACTTGTTGCACCATCTTAGAATGTGCAATGATGGATGCAGGAGGGAGGTGGTGGCACATGATGGTGGGAAGGTTTGGTCCCAGGGCATGGTTGAAAACACAAGATGCAGCAGCCTTGCTGAAACTAAGCAGGTTGGGTGTGGTCTGTGCCTGCATGGGGAAATGATTGAGGAGCATCTGGTATGCTTTGAGTTGCATAATGGAAGAAAGGCAGATATATAGTTAAAGAAAAAATATCCTGCATTTGCCCAGTTGATCAGACACACCATCTAAATTAATTAAAATGTTTTTAATGATTGATCAGCTAAAGCTCTGAGCAGACTTTGAATTTCACTTCCATTAATTTCTATGTTGATGATATAGGTGCCCAGTATAGTATTATTATAGTTGTGTTTAAGCAATATGTGTGTTTATATCACCCAGAGTTCCACTAAAGTAAACTGCTTTACTTTTTTTGTTGTTTTAGTAAGGCTTGGAGTGGTAAAATGCATAGATTCTGTAAAACTGTTAGTAGCATTAATCACAGGATGATCTTTTTAAAAATGCACCAGGTACCATTTGAATTGCTGAGCCATATCTAAAATCAGAGCAAGTGTATTTGTTGCATTTCCTTTTTTAATGTTTTTAAAGAAAATTGGAGAAATTATAGGAAAAATATATGTGAATGTATCTTCTCATTCATTCACTGCCTTTATAAAGCTTACCATATTATATTTTCTTGCTATTGGCACCTTTAAGAATTTTCTTATCTATGAGTACATTAACACCAAAAAATCGCCCAGTTGCCAAGATCTCCCAATAAAAATATTACATTACCTGTTTCATATTATAATATTTTTTTGTGGGAGGAAATGGAACCAGCATCTTCAGTTAACTTTCTTTGTTATCTTGTAAGTGTGTGCTGTCACTAGGCTAGGTTCCATTTCATTAAATGGCAGAAACATTCCATTTATTACCATCAGAGATGAGGTCAAACAGCACATTTTAGATTCATAAACTTTAGAGCCTTTGAGGTCCTGACCTTCGGCTAGGCAATGTAAGTAAGAGGCAGGGGCAGACATGGCTTTCAAGCACACATCTAATCCCACGTATCAGGTGTACTGAACTTTGCATCCATCCTCTTTAAAACATTTTATTCCACCTTTCAGCATAAAAATTTCAAACGTGGATAAGAGAGTTTTAAGTCTCTTAAAATAGAAAAATGAAAACCAGCAATAAAAGAAATAAATGTTTACGACTGGCTTTTAGAAACATGAATACTCTTGCACTATTCCAGGAAAGACATAATTAATCTGTGGAGGGAACATGGAGATCTTTATTTTGCCATCAGTAAAAATGCTGACATGGGCAGTTCCCAATGAAGGATGCATATCCTGCTGGGAGATAACCACACATAGCTGTGGAGGTGGGAGGCTCTTCTCTTGCAACAATGGGCCACCTTGGCTTGGAATTTTTGCACCAAAAATCTGAAACTTAAGAAATGCTACTTTCATACCTGACTGAATTCTTCACAAATGTCATTTGTACACATTAAGTTGTATGTATAGCACAATGCAGACTATTTATTACTACTATGTAAAAAGCTTTCTTATTTATAAAGTGTTGCAAAATATCTCAGATAATTTTTTAAAAGTATTTAGAACTAGTAATAATTTCTTATTTGTCTTTACTTGCTACTGTAATGGGTGTTAAGTATCCCATGTATTATTATTACTTTTCATTCTAAAACCAAAGAATCTAAGAATTGCCCCCCCCCCCAAAAAAACTTGACAACTATGCTACTGGCCTGCACACTAGTTTAGTATCAGGCTTCTGTTAAGTCTGTGTTTGTCGGTATATACTTGAACTGGACCAGATGTTACTATTTATTGAGTTCACACAATCTTGTTTAATCATTGGCTTGTAAACATTTAGAATGTATTAGAGTTTAAGTTATTTAGGAAGCATCACAAGTTTTAATTGCTCTGTGTACCTGAGATTTCAAATTGTGTTTATTAAAATGGACAAATTATTGTAATAAAGAGAATTTTAATGGCTATGCAAGAACTGGTGATCTTTTCTTTCAATGGCACATGCCTCTCTTTGTAGATGTAATGCTACTGATCCTTTTAATTACAGTGTGGAGGTCAGGAGCAAGCTGCAAGATCACATCCTGTTCCCCCAGATTATTTCCACGCAATGCAACCAAAATATTTAAGCTTAATTTGTTTAAGCTAACATGCAGGGTCCAGACTTCACAGTGTGCTCATCCTGATTCTGCAACCGAGATGGACAAATCCAAAGCCCAGGACAGGTGCCTCTACTGCTCAAACAAACATTTTCTTTGTCTGCATCCAAGCCTAGGCATTCAGAAGGTCGTTCCAGAATAAAGCCTGACCCTAGCGATAATCATGTTCATATCATAACTCTGGCACATGAGGGTATGGCTGAAGATTTAACTGTTCATGTGTCAGAAGAAAAGAACTGTGTAAACTGGCCTTAAGGAGGTATTATGGGGTAGGGGATATAGATGAAAGCTTACTAAAACACACTTCTTTTTACAGGAACCTCAAATAACTTTCCCGTGTAGTGCTAAAGAAATAAGTCAGGTGAAATTCATTCTTGTCCCCATTTTTAAGTCTTTTTTCCTTTTCCATTTTATTAAAATACATTGCTTTTCCTTTTTTAGATTTGATATGTATATTGTATTCCCCCTACTGGACAGTTAATTATTGCAGCAATGGCATGAGTCAGTATTTCAGCTTTTAATCTAACACTGTGTATGAAGCAGTGCATTTAAAATACCAGTGGCAAACTGCTCTACAATCCAATTATCTCTTGGATAAATAATTTGAATTTCATAATTTTACTTGATGCATATTTGTGAATTTCACTGGTTTTGAAACTGATACTCAAATGTGGCGTTTAGGAGTTACGTACCAGATGCGATGCGGAGACTTTTAGGTTTTATGCATTCTTGCATTTTAGGGTGTGTGTTGTTGTTTTTTTGTATTGCAGTGTGTGTGTTTTTAAGACAGAGATTCCATTGCTGTGTAGATTGGGAGCACTTTGGAAGCAGCACTGTGGAGGAATGCAAACCAAGTGTTCTACAGCAGCCTAAACCATAAAAGCAAGATTTTTAAGTTTCTAAAAATCAGATTGCTACCCACAGCTTCTTGGGAACAATTTCACTTCTGCAGTTTCGAACCTTGAATGTTTTTGTTGAAGTTGCTAGGTGGAAGCCCTGTAAACTAAGTTTGCAAGGCAATTGGAAAGTGTGCAGATGCCATGCTTCCACATAGTTCATCAATTAAAGACTGTTCTCATCCTCTGCTCCCATCTGCTGTGGAATAAAGCCCAAATCCCTGATTGCTGCACAGGGAACAGGGAACTGTGAAGAAACTGGGCTGCAGGCCATAATAGTTCTACTTCAGTCTACATTGCATTGCCCTTCCATTTATTAATTATCCTTGTGGGCATGAAGGCCAAAGTGGCTTTTTGTCCAGTCATCTTAGTTTGTAGGGCAAATATTACGCATCTGATTAAACTTGACCGGTCAACACTACTGCTTTCCCACTAAGCCACAGAGCTGACCTTCAGAAAGCAGAAGACACGCAATCAGTAAACCATATTGATCCGGATTCAGTAACGGATAAGGTGACCCAAACCCAATATCAGATCAACATTTGCCAATGGCATACACCATTTCCTTTAACTCAGCTCAGTCAGGAATGAGACAGGTATGTATGAAACCTCATGCTACATTAAACAAGTTATAGCCTGTTTCCACGTACTGCAACCCATTAAGCAGGTACTAGTTAATTTCCAAGTTCTTCCACCAGGTGCTAGGTGGGGCCTGTGATGCAAATGTCACCTTCCCTTGGCATAACATTTACCCTTCATCGTTCCAAAACTTGGGATATGTCGTATCTTGGGTTATGAAATCTCTCATTGAGGCTTTTTGGAACTTGTCTGAACATGTATTCTTTGTTCTGGTCTT